GGCGCGATCCACGCTTTCAGTAAAACTGAGGCAACCATCAGAACAGAGCGGCGCGTCCAATACGAATGAGCAGCGGGGGCGGGTGATTCTCAGAACCTGCAGGGCACCCGTAAGCGAAAGGTGTTTAGCGAGCGGACGAGGAGTTGTAGGGAAGTGCGGGTGTTCGTCCACATGTCCACATTGCACTCTTCGCAAATCCGTGGCTCGGATTTAGCAGGCTTCTCTATACCAGACCCGCTCCCACCTGGATGTTCACTGTGAACTGGGCAGCGATGGCAATGGCAAAAGAGAGAAATAGAGAGAGAGAGAGAAAGCGAGGGCGAGAAAGAGAGAGAGAGAGCGAGAGAGTTGATAGATAGAGAGAGAAACAAACAACTAACGGGAGAGAGAGAGAGAGAGAGAGAGCAAGAGAGAGAGAGAGAGCGAACACCTGCTGCGAACAACTGCTGTATACGCCGCTCCTGGGCTTGAGCCAAACGGCGGCGGCTTATGCTACTCAAATGAGGCGGACGAAAATGAGAGCGTTTCTTTTTCCCTGGAGGTAACGTCTGTTACCCTGGGGGCGGGAAAAGGGGAGTGCAACACGTGGTCGACTGTTGGTGGCGGCGACATAGCAGCAACATCGATAGCAATAGCAATAGGAGTAGTATTAATAGTAGTAGTAGTAGTAGCAGTAGGTAGTCGTAGTAGTAGTAGTAGTAGTAGTAGTAGTAGTAGCAGTAGTAGTAGTAGTAGTAGTAGTCGTAGTAGTAGTAGTAGTAGTAGTAGTAATAGTAGTAGTGGTAGTGGTAGTGGTAGCGGTAGTGGTAGTGGTAGTAGTAGTAGTAGTAGTAGTAGTAGTAGTAGTAGTAGTAGTAGTAGTAGTAGTCGTAGTAGTAGTGGTAGTGGTAAGGGTAGTAGTAGTAGTAATAGTCGTAATAGTAATCGTCGTAGTAGTCGTAGTAGTAGTAGAAGTAGTAGTAGTAGTAGTAGTAGTAGTAGTAGTAGTAGTAGTAGTAGTAGTAGTAGTAGTAGTAGTAGTAGTAGTAGTAGTAGTAGTAGTAGTAGTAGTAGTAGTAGTAGTAGTAGTAGTAGGTAGTAGTAGTAGTAGTAGTAGTAGTAGTAGTAGTAGTAGTAGTAGTAGTAGTAGTAGTAGTAGTAGTAGTAGTAGTAGTAGTAGTAGTAGTAGTAGTAGTAGTAGTAGTAGTAGTAGTAGTAGTAGTAGTAGTAGTAGTAATAGTAGTGGTGGTAGCAGTAGCAGTAGCAGTAGCAGTAGTATTAGTAGTAGTAGTCGTAGTAGTACTAGTGATAATATGACTAATCATACTAGCCATGATCGTAGTAGCATTCATAATCGCAGCCGTAGCAGAAACAAATCACCCTACTGGTAACAGTCAGGGTGAGCAGGAACCGCGCACGTTCGCGTAAGAGTAAGGGGAATGGTACTAGCGCTTGCGAGTATACGTCCAACAGTTGTCGTACTGGTATTGCTAGGTGGAAATACAAATGGAAGCTATGGCACGTATAGTGGCAGTAGAGATGCTCGTTGCAGTGCTGACAAAAGTAGTAACACTTGATTGGTACTCGTCGTAAAGATGATGGCTGACGTGGCAGCATTTGTAGTTGTAGTAGTAGTAGTAGTGGTAGTAGTAGTAGTAGTAGTAGTAGTCGTCGCAGTAGTAGTAGTAGTAGTAGTAGTAGTAGTAGTAGTAGTAGTAGTAGTAGTATTAGCCGTAGTCGTCGCAGTGGTCGTAGTAATGGTAGCGGTAGTACGTGTAGTAGTACAGATGGTAGTAGTAGTCATAGTGGTAGTAGTAGTAGTTATAATGTGCTACTATTCGTAGTAGTAGCAGTAGTCGCTGTAGCAGGCCATGGGGATGGTAGGAGCAAGGACAGTTGTAGTACTAGTACGCCTACTAGGTACTAATCGTAGAAGAAGTAAGTGTTGTAGCAGCCTTAGTACTAGCACTAATAGTAGAAGCAGTAGTGGCCCGAATAGTTAAAACATGAAACATCATAGCAGTAGTGGTACGACCAATCGCAGGGCTCGCAGACGTAGCTGTAGAATAGCAATCTTAGCACTAACTAGGAGTAGCAATCGCCGTAATCGTAGTAGAAGTAATAGAAACAGTACTGGTAGCTAGTGTCGTGGAGTAGTAGAAGTAGTAATAATAAAGATCGTCGTCGTCGTAGTCTTAGTCGTCGTCGTACTCGTAGTCGCAATAATAGCGGTGGTAGCCGTAGTAGTAGTAGTAGTAGTAGTAGTAGTAGTAGTAGTAGTAGTAGTGGTGGTGGTAGTAGTGGTAGTATTTGTAGTTGTACTAGTAGCAGTAGTAGTAGTAGTAGTAGTAGTAGCAGTAGCAGTAGTAGTAGTAGTAATAGTCGTAGTAGTAGTAGTCGTAGTAGTAGTAGTAGTAGTAGTAGCAGTAGTACTCGCAGTCGTATTAGTAGTAATAGCCGTAGTCGTCGCAGTGGTCGGAGTAATGGTAGCGGTAGTCCTTGTAGTAGTACAGATGGTAGTAGTAGTCATAGTAGTAGTAGTAGTAGTAGTAGTAGTAGTTATATGGTGATACTATTCGTAGTAGTAGCAGTAGTC